AGATGCACACACACCCAAACACACACAAACACACACACACACAATCACACCTGTACATTCCAGTATAACTCCTCTCGACCCCCCTCCCCACCCCATCCCTGTAGGTACGGAATAACGGCAAATACTATCAGATCTGTGGGGCAGCCCTTGTGGGCAAGAGGAAAGTCCTCACTGCGGCTCACTGCGTTGATCAGAGGTAAGATAAGATAGTTCTTGAAAACCTGAGGAAAAGATGAGATAAGATCGTTCTGGAAAACACGAGGAATAAATGAAAGGAGATAGTTCGGGAAAACATTATTGAAATATAAGAGCAATAATTAGTTCTGGAAATCGTAAGGATGAGATGAGATAGTTCAGAAAGACAAAGGAAAGATATAATAAGATAAGATAGTTTAGGAAAACATATGAAAACAAAATATACGATTAGATTGCTCAAGTAAACAGAACTACCAGACAAGATATGATAGTACGTGAAAGCATAAGGAAAATGTTTGCAAGATAAGAAGTTAAAAGGTAGTGCATTAAAACATTGCTAAATGATAATCAAAGAGGCGATAAGATAGATATTATATTATAAAATAACCAACAATGGATGGACAAGACAATATAGATGAGGCATTAAAAGGGCGTTATGATGAGATAATCAAGAATAGGTCGATTAGATAAGATAATAAAAAACGGACAGTATAAGACAGCGCATTCATGGTCCGATAAGAAAAGATAAGGCATTATCAATGGGGTGTTACGATAAGATAAACAACAATAGGGTAATAAAATACGTTAACCAACAATGAACTGATAAGGCAAGGCAAGTGCAGCACCAAGAGCTTGATAAGATATAATAAGATAAACAACAACAGGGTGATAAAATAAGATAATCAACAATGGGGTGATAAGATAAGACAAGCAACAATAGGGCGATGAGATAAGATACCATCAACACAAGGATAATATAACAATATAAGCAACAATGGGCTGGTAAAATACGATTTATCAACAATAGGGCGAAAATATAAGATAAACAACAACAGGTCGACAAGATAAGATAAGTGCTAAATCAATGGGTTGATAGGATAAGCCAAGGGCATTAAAGTTGCGATAAGACAAGACAGGCACATTAGCAATGGGGTGATGAATAAGATAAATGCACGATCAATGACAAGATCGATACGATAATAAATAACAATTGGACAATAAAATAAGATAAGATATTCAACAATAAGGTGATAAAATAAGATAAGATAAGAAACAATAGGGCAATAAAATAAGTGCAACATTAATTGGGCGATAAGTTAAAACAGCCTTGACATAAAACAAAACAAAACAAGCAAAAAAAAGTTAGGACAATTCCGTGCCGAAAGTTTCGTTTACATGGAAATGTTTTTGGGACTTTTCAAAGTTTTCTATTGACTTTCGGAGAGAGACTTTACTATCGGATGTCCATTAGCCTCGAACGCCATTTTTGAATTTTAAAAGAGCATTAAACAAATTTACAAGAGACTTCTTCAATGTGAGGCGCATGCTGGCGTCTATAATGTTAATACTGTTCAGTAGTTTTTTTCGTGTGGTTTTTTTTTCGTCAAACGTTCATTTGATTAATAAAATTGTCCTGTTTTTTTTTCCCTAGAGGGGCATTGAGTTAATGTCGCTCTGGGTTTTTTTTTCTCAAACGATCACAGAATTAACATTGTCACGGGTTTGTTTCTTTGTTAGTTAGTTAGTTTGTTTGTTTGTTTTTGCCTCAGGTGATCATAGAGTGAATATTGTCCTGTTTTTGTTTTGTTTTTCATCAGAGCATCATAGGGTTAATTTGTCAAGATTTTGTCCTCAGACGTTTATAGACTTAATTCTGCCCCGGTATTTTTTCTCAGACAATAATATTTTTAATGTTGTCCAGTTTTTTTCTCAGACAATCATTGGGTTAATATCGTCTTGTAATTATTTGTTTAGAAGATCTGACGTTTAAAGTAGTCCAGATTTGTTCCTGCAGACCATCGTAGGGTTAATGCTGTCCTGTTTTTCCTCAGACCATCACAGGGTTAACGTTCTCAACTTCTTTTTCTTCAGACCAACTTAGGGCAAATGATTATCATCCAGGGTTCTCTTAGACGATCAAATGGTTCACACTGTCCTGGTTTTTTTTCTCAGATCAACATCCGGTTAGGCCTAATATTGTCCTTTTTTTCTCTTCAGTCGGACGTATTACGTCATGATGGGGGTGTCAGATCTCAGGGACTCGAATAACCAGTACCTACAGTTTATTCAAGTGTCCCGGAAAGAAATCGTAAGCCACCTTTTCCCTTTTCTCTTGCTGTATGGTAATGTGAAAATACATGCTACGTACGTATAATTACAGTCGAAATAACAAATCATATGTACGTATAAATACTGTCAAAATTGTCAAAGTGAACCCCGCATTGTCGAGGAGAAAAGTTGTTGTTCCTCAATATGTGGACATTTGAACTGTGTCATTACCATTTGTTTGTAATAATAATAATAA